CATCGGCCGCTCCCGTCGGCGCCGGCGCGTGAGCACCGGCGTTTCTTCCATTTGTTGGGCGTCGGACATAGTAGTCGAGTGTTTGTCCCGGGTGAAGTGGGTACAATAACTAGCATCCACAGTCGGCAGATGGCTGCAGATGGAATATGAACGTTTGGCAGTGAAGAGCAAGATGTTGTCGTTTGGGATCGCCGGAGATTTGAGGTTGACTGAGTTCAGTCTCTCTCTTCGATCACCGACGGTATTTGAACTGATCCCCACCCGTAAAGCCGAGCACTCGACTTTGGTTTGCCTTACTAACCGGACTTAAAGGTGGGGAAGGTCGACAAAGCGTGTGTTACACGCAGCTATCATCGAACTCTGCAGATATACCCCCAGTACTTTTAGATACGAATCGACTGAAAGAGAGATACTAGGTCTGTTCTGAATTCTTATAAAGTCTTCAGCATGGTAGCGGAGGTTGTAGCCCGGCTGTTCGCGTTCTTGAGCCCAATGACTGACATCTCTATTACACTATGGGGGTACAGGATGACCTCCCCAACGTCGTCGACTGGACTGATGAATACGATTTTGGCAATCCTCGGAACTTCTCCCCAGGTAAGAAGTGGGGAACAACAGTTCACTATGGTCTTGTTACCTTCATTGTCACTTTTGCCAGTTCAATTTTCAGTACTGCAACTGAAGTGACGAGCGAGTCATTCGGGGTGTCAAAAGATGTCATGCATTTAGCAACAGCACTCAATGTTTTGGTAAGTAGAGTTATGCTATGGCAGATTCGATACGACTGACAGTGGATAGGGGTTTGCATTTGGACCCCTGGTTTTTGGACCGCTCTCCGAGTTGTACGGTCGCAAGACTCCCCTGCTACTGGGACTCCTCGTCTTCTGCGTTTTCAACATACCAGTTGCAGTCGCAACAAACGTCGAGACGATATTGGTATGCAGGTTCGTTATCGGTTTCGGAGGCGCGGCTCCTTTAGCCATCGTCGGCGGCGCACTCGTTGACCTCTTCCTTCCCATTGAAAGAGGCATCGCGGTCTGCATTTTTGCTGGCGCAACGTTCATGGGCTCCATTTTCGGGCCAATAGTCGGTGGCTTTGTCACCGAATCCTATTTGGGATGGCGATGGACGGCTTGGTTAACACTCATTCCCGGTGCTGTGCTGTGGGCGATTCTCTTGCTGTTCATCCCGGAGACATACGGCCCAGTCATACTCAAAAGAAGAGCTTGGGAGCTCCGTTTCGCAACTGGCAATTGGGCACTCCATGCTGCCGTCGAGGAGCATCGGTTGGAATTGAGCGACATCGCACAGAAGTATCTCGTCAGACCTATCGCCATGCTCTGCCGCGAGCCCATCTTGGCCCTCGTGACAGTCTATATGTCGCTCATTTACGGTATTTTATACCTCTTCTTCGAGGCTTACCCGTTCTCTTTTTCCGCCAAACGCGGTTGGAGTCTAGGCGTAGGAGCCCTTCCGTTCCTTAGCCTTGGGTTCGGTATTGTTCTTGGAGGAGCGGTCGTGTTACTACACCTCAAACTCCGGTACGCAAAGATATACAAAGCGGATGGGAAGGTGCCGCCAGAAGAACGCCTCATTCCAATGATTTTCGGTGCTGTTTCACTTCCAATAGGCATGTTGTGGTTCGCCTGGACAAGCGATCCAGACATTCATTGGGCCCCCCAAATCCTTGCAGGCGTTCCCACTGGGATAGGAATCATGACCATCTTCATACAAGGGTTGGTGTACATAATCGACACATATGCTCAACTCTCGAACAGCGCCATTGCGGCCAACGTGTTTCTGAGAAGCTGGGTTGGTGCTGGTTTTACTATGTTCGCGACCAGCATGTACAGCAAATTGGGTAAGCTTGATCTTCTTTCTACTTGAAAAAGCTATGCCATTTGCTCACTAAAATGTTAGGCGTTGCGTGGGCATCATCGCTACTTGGTTTCATCTGCGTTTCTTTGATACCAGTCCCAGTTTTGTTTCTCAAGTATGGTAAAGTCATCAGGAAGAGAAGTCGGTATGCTCCGTTTACAGACTAAAGCATTCGTAAGCCACTGATAGAACAATGAGGTTGAGATAAAGGAAGTCTATCAACACATATAAGTGATGAAGCTCTGTGCGAACAGTGCCGTGTCCTGCGGAGTTAAGTGCCCCCGGATTCAGTCGAAGCCCTGTATATAACATACCGGTAGATTCAAAAAGGCTTATAGAGGATGAGCTCATAGGCCGACTCATGACTAGTTAAGAGGTGAACGTAGGTTCCTGGCTTAAAGTTCTTTTCGTTCCCGCGCGGAGGGGCTCTGCGGCGGGGTTCCTTACTTGGGGAGTTGTCAGCAGCACGTAATACAACGATTGCGCGTAATCTTAAACACGCCTAGACCCTTGAGTCAACCGATTTGAATACATGATGCTCTTGAATTCTGTCTAGTCGGATGACACTTCCTACCATAGGTTGACGGCTCCTTCCATGCCACTTGGTGATTCATTTACGTTGCGTGAAACTGCCTCACGAAGAAGATGTCTACATGTACAGAACTTTGACCATATGCACTCACTTAGACACAGAATTTGTATTCTTTCAGCTATTCAGATCTATGTCAGTTGCTTGAACTATAGAGTCATAGGTGAAATTGCTACATTGTGCTGATCAGTGTCTGGTGACCCCTTGCTTGGCCCTTGTCTTAAGTAATGCCACACAGAATCAGAAGATCAAGTCGGGTATATTTGACAACTTGAGATGGACAGCTTTTCACATAATTAATACTACGTATCGAGTAAATTTCCATGCTCATGCTGACAGTCCCTAGAGGAGGGTTTGCGGTGAGATATGAGACGCGGGTACACAACAAAAGTGCGAGGATTCGCAAATTACAGATACATCGACCGCTTAGACCACATCTCCGGTAGCAAGACTTACGGCTTTTCTTCCTCATTGCGGTCATTCACAGTCTCGCAGGCACCTTTGAGACCGAGTCCGATAGAACAAGGATTGACTTCAGCGGCGGACCCGGTGTATTCTTCGGTCTCGGATAAGAGGACGCGAAGCGTGGAATCCGTGGGGCTTCCGGCCCACTTCCCATGGACGTTAGTCATGGCATTGACAACGATACCATAGCAACCAGTCTTCGTCGATTACACAGTAAGGGTTATGAGTATAGGCGTTGAGCACGCAATTATTTCAAGCCAAGTTGCAATCTGAGAGCCAGTATATAAACTATGAGAACTCACGGGGGTTTCCACGATCTGGATCAGCCCAAAATCGGCCAACGCTACATTTCCTCAGTCCTGGTGTTGGTCAAGCGGCACCATAGCGCATATCCGTCATTACGGAGCAACCCGGCCCAACCTTGGCCAAGAACTCTTCGTATATTAGAGTTATCTTGTGGGACCCTATCGCGGGCTTTTGAATACGGTGTAGGGGTTGCAGTCCAAAGGATTTAATGTATTTTGGGTTCCCGCCTGACTCGGGCTTCATTGTAGAAATGATACGATCGGACTCTCATGTGTTCTCCGCAACTCGCAGAAGATACCTAAGAAAGCCGAACATAGACTTCCAACCCCGGCGTACAAGTCATCATCTCAGCCTGTACATAAAAGACTTAACTTCCCGTGACGAAGCCTATCTCTTTTGGATCACTCACAACGAACATTAGCTCCTTCAACTCAATTGCAAAGCCAAAACCTCTCTCCAAGACTTAATTTAGTCCAACCTACGCAACTCTCAAGATGCAGTTCTCCAGCCTTTTCGTCGCCGCTGTCGCTCTGGTCCTTCCGGCCGCTGTTAGCGTAAGTCGATTTCTCTGTGCTCAAATTTAACTCATGCCCTATTTCACTTACTAATGCTTTACTTCAGGCTGGCTACTGCCAAGGCACTACCTGCATTGACAGCATTCAGAACTTCGAGTGCCCCAAGCAGTGCCCCAAGGACGGCACCTGCGCGCTCAACGTCGCTTGCTTCTAAGGAATGGGTCAATCGTGGAAAGGCAGCATTCCAAAATATTGAGAGCTTGTAGAATATCCTCGGCGAGGAAAAGTCACTTTTACACCCATCATGAAATTACAAATATCTATATGTTCTGCTTCAAGTCACGCAGTGAAGTGTATGCTTGCTTGGCTGTACCTCAATGTCTAGTCGTACCTTATTCGATATGCACATAAACGGCGCTGTGTCTTTGGTTACTTACTTGTGTAGTGCAAATCGTTATTTTCGGCAAGGTTTAGTCATATTTCCCAGGCTGATTTCTAATCATATGGTTTGAGATGTTGACGGTCTAGCCGCTGCTATCCGTGTCTCGCACAGCGTGGGTTTTCTGTCTCCACTGAAGGGTCAATTCAGCAACATCCCTAACGATGGGGGCCGGCCAGGAATCAAGCCCGGAAATAATATCTCAATCAACTTAAAGTTTTCGCTTTCTATGCTGAACGAAGGAAAACGTTCTATACGCCGCTGGGCTTCTATGGACAGTTGACTACCAACAGAGAGACAAGCAGCTGTTCTTGTGCTTCCTTTTCGTTCCTGCAAAACACGTATCCGCGGTTTGTATTATGTTTCGTAGTGCAATAGATATTAGTTTCTGTAACTTTTGCGAGACTAAGATAGCAGCAGAGGATGGCATTTTCCCGAAGATTCCTGTCGCCTTCGAATATCTTCTTCGTTCAAAAGGTGAAGCCAGGCTCTAGATTCTCATAGATATCTTCAGGGCTTCGCTCAGCAAGACCCCGTATCGATATAACTTATCAGTCCTGCACGCACTCTCCAAAAACTCAACCAAGTGATAAGTAATGAGCAAGTACTATTAGTAATGGAACTGAGGGTAAGTAGGCTTAGATAGTCATTCACAATAGTCGCACACATCCTCAATCTTTTAGGAATCTCCTGCTCACAGATGTCTGACCGAAGTGCTTGACACAATATGGCAGTTGTATCGATATGATCTAACGCTAAATCAAGGGTATCTTGTGGCCAATGGCCGACTACTATCCTCCCATACCTTTTAGAAGTTATTCTCCTTCTCCATAGCCGTCTTAACAGCCTCTCCTCGTACAGTAACCTCGGTAGTGTAGTCCTTAAACTTGCGAGCCGGGATCTTCTTCATAAACATCTCATCCAACTCCTCGTACGTTCTTCCCGCTGTCTCGGGCAAGTTGTACCACAAGTGCACCAACGAAATGACAGCCAAGCCGCCAAAGATGAACGCCAACTTGGCGCCAAGGTTCAGCTGGTCAGGGTTGAACAGGTACGGCAGGACAAAGTTCCACATGGTCGTGAGCGCGTTCTGCAAAGCAAGACCGAGGGCGATGGTCTTGATGCGAAGTCTCGAAGTTGAGACCTCGGCGAGGATCGTGTACGCGGTCGCGCCGATCGTGACGTTGTACCACCAGCAGTACATCATCAAAAGTGCGACAGTGCCCCTGTTGAAGGAGAGTGTTCCGGGAAGGGCTAGACCACCGGTGATGAGGAGGATCACAGTCAAGAATGCGAGCCCGTACACGGTCAAAGGGCGGCGTCCAACCTTGTCAACCAAGTACCATGACATGACGTTTCCAATGAGAGAACAGATTTGCTGGACGATTTGGAGCTTGAAGCTGTCGGCGGTGCTATAACCAGCCAGCTGCATGTAATACCTGGAAACTGTCAGTCAAAGTACAAAGGTTGGAAGCTGGGGGTAGTGATGGTAGACTAACGTGAAGTAAGAGGCAGCAAAGGTGATTCCCGACAGGGACTGGATGCAAAGAGGCGAGATGCTGATAATGGTACGTCTCAAGTTCGACTTGCGGAAACACTCAAGGTAGCTGGCGCCTGCGGTTTCCTTGCTAACCTGTTCCAGTGTCTGGTGAATGACAGCCAGCCTGACACGGCCTTCATCCCCAGAATGTCCTAGCTTGCTCAGACTTTTGAGTGCCTGTTCATCCTTCTCCTTCATAGCTAGGTACCAAGGACTCTCGGGCATGAAGGGCAAAAAGATGGCGGCGATGGCAGCAAAGCCATACTGGGCACAGAAGACAGCACGGTACGCCCAACGGCTGTTCATAGTACCGGTCTCGTTGACGATGACTGCAACGACCAGGGGTCCGAGTGTGTATGATAGGGCTGAGAGGCAGGTGAAGAGACCACGGAGGGCGAGGGGAGTGATCTGATGAGGCTCAAATTAGTACCCAATCTGGTCATGTTACGCGCCGGAATATTGGCTTTGGAGTCTTACCTCTCCGATATATGTGACAGCCACGGTTGATAGTGCACCGATAGCAAAACCATTGATGAACTTGCCGCCGAAGAAGAGTTCATTTGTGGTTGCGACGAATTCGAGAGTGATACCGGTAATGGAGAATGCCAACGCGAGGCCAATGACCTTCTTTCGTCCAAAGATGTCTGCGAGAGGACCGCTACCTAACGCACCCACAACGGCTCTGTATGAAGTAAACATGGTTAGCACATGTCTAGATCGTGTAGTATGGTAAAGAACACGGCGCCGGCATTACTCACGAAGCGATGGGTGCGCCATTGAAAGCGGACTGCCATTTCGTATCCAAGACATAGGAACCTTCAAACTCGTGACCAAAGTCCTTTCGGAATTCTGGAATACTCAAGATGCTGCCGCCTGCCTGATTCTCAAACGCCAGAACCAGGACGCACCATACGGCGTAGATACACCAGAAGGACGCTTTCGGGTACTTCTTCAAAGACTCAAACTTCCCGAGCTCGTGCTCCTCTTGGTTTCCAAGGTTGGCAAGTTGGGCCTGACCTTCGCCGGGGTGCTCGAGGTGGTCGGCATTGTCCTTCTTCTCAGCGTCGACCATCGTGACTGGCTTTCTTACGTGCGGTTAAAAGACGGACCTAAAACGAAATAACCCCAAAAGGAGAAAAGTCAAATGACTAAGAATCGATTCGGATTCAGGCTAAAAGAGGCTGAAGTCTAAGGTAGTGCCAAGATGCAGGACAAGGCTGGAAATTGCAACCATCACGGGCTCTAGCGAGTCTTTATAAGGCAAAGCCGCAACACACACAATGGGTTGAGACTAGACTCGTAAGTACGAATGGGCGCACGAACCCGAATGGTCCCACGCCGACATCATGGAAACGACCACACCAGAAATCTGGAACCTCGGGGGAATGACACGACGGTGGATCCGGGGTGTTGCCAGCATCGTCTGGGGATACCTGCGGGGCCCCGACTCTATGTGGGAAGATGGAGACTGGTTGGAGACTGGCCGAGGCGAGTCAGGAGACCAAGACGCCGTCACGCCAATACCCACCGTTTGTCCGGTGTAGTGCCTGGGGTTTCCCCATCTAGGAGTGCTTGCCGGCGACGAACCCCACGCGAGGAATAGTCTTCATGGTTTCTGAAAATCAGGGGAAGAAGCGGAGATACTCTTATCCAGGAGGCGGCATCAGTCGTTGTCTTGAAGTGCGAATAGACTCATTTGTTATACGTAGTCTTGTATGCCTATGGTGAACTAATCCGAAGCGGCCAAATCTCGGGAGGCTCGATGACTGTATGTGGAAAGACACAGCAGTACTGAAACCGCCTGTAAACGCTATTGTTACTAGAGTTGAAAATGAAAACTGAATTATCTGTATCGTATCAACACATGTCTTCGTAGATGGGTGATGGCATCGCAGCAGTCTCAATAGTGAAATTCTCCGCCTGAGGAAAGTTCTCTTGTCTCGTGCCTTTCTCCCGAGACAGAACCCCGGCTATTCCCGGCACACGGCACCATTTAGCGGTGTTTTGGTGTGTCGAACGGTGGAGGCGCGTCGCTGGTGGTCGCCCGATTTTACCAAAGAAGTTTGGCACGCCGGCGAGCCGCTGCTGTTCGTGACCCCGACACTTAGAACGCTCTTAGAACGTACGGGGGTTGCTGTCCGACATTGTCCGATGTTGGTCCGCGTTGACATGACGCGGTCTGGAATCTCTAGACGAGAGGCATACGGTGGTTGACACTTCCTAATTTGATATCTCGGTGGTTGCCTTATTTCTATGTGGACTTGTTTCTAAGTTAAGCATTGATCGAATCTAAATGATGCTGGGAGGTGATCAAAAGTTGATCAAGCATGGCTCGGAATCCTTCCCGAAGACAATGGTCGGTTTTATTTCATTCTCTTCGAGCGTGGCAACGCAACTTTTTCTCTCTCCGCCGACCTTCGGTCAAGGCTTTCATGGTCACTACTCAATGCGCCTTTACAGCTCTCGCCATGATACCATTTCCAAGACTTTCACGTTCTGGTCTCCAAACATCTGGCAATGACGCAACCCCAGACCGCGGACTTGGTAAATTACCTTGGAGAATGGAGATGCCGTCCCCACCCGACTCGTTTGGGCGCTTGACAGCCCCCAAACCGGCCAAGCTCAAGCCCCAGAAGCTGGTCGGATTGCGGGGTTACCACCCTGTTGAATAATGAGGAGAGCCGGAAAGAGGCCGAGACGGTATTCAGCTGTATGGAGTACCACGCGATGTTCGGGTTAGGTTTTTAGCGAAGTGCAAGTGTATGTGTGTGTGTGTGTGTGTGTGAGAGAGAGAGAGAGAGAGTGTGTGTGTGTGTGTGTGAATGAGAAAAAGGTGATTCTGTCGACATTCCCAATAAGGAAATCTTAAGCACCGAGGCCATCGTGAGAGCATCGCGCTGGACAGCTTGTCAAAAGGGAGTGGGCAGCTTTCTTTCAAAGTGATCGTGCCAAATTCAACTTCAAACCCCTGGACCCGAAACCCTTGCATTGCGAGCTTGCGTCTCATTCTTGTTCCCTTGCACTCATCACGTCACGACCACAAACCAGTAACCTGCGATATCACCGCCATGGCGCAACTCAACAGACTGCAGACATTCCCAAACAAGCCGAGAGTGTTTGTCCTCACAGACATCTCAAACGAGCCCGACGACGCCGAGTCGCTCGTTCGTTACCTCCTCTACTCCAACCAATTCCAGACCGAGGGCCTCGTCGCCGTCTCATCAACATGGATGAAGAACAAAGTCTGCCCGCAAGACATTCACAAGATCCTCGACGCCTACGCCGGCGCCGTGGATAACCTCAACAAACATACGCATCCAGACTACCCTTATCCCTCAGCCGACAGCCTACGGGCGTTGGTCAAATCCGGACCACCGGTACGTAATTGAAGGATGACAGTTGTCGCTTAAAGATCAAATGTTCTAACATTCAATCCTACAGGTGTATGGGTTCGCCGGTGTAGGTGCAGACAAGCCATTGACCGACGGCGCCCAGCTACTCCTCGAGAGAATTGAAGCCCCCTCACAAGATCCCCTTTGGGTCCTCGTCTGGGGCGGCACCAACGTCCTGGCCCAAGTCCTCCTCACTATTCGCGACAAATACTCCCCCGAAGATGCAGCCAAGTTGCGCTCGAAGCTGAGCGTCTACACAATTTCCGACCAAGACGACACCTCAGCCTGGATCCGCACCCAGTTCCCCGACATTTTCTACATCTCCTCCATCCACGGTTGGAACCAATACGGACTTGCAGCGTGGACGGGTATCTCTGGAGACAAATACTACGGTTTCGACCAGGGTGGCCCAGACTTTTCCAAGGTCTCAAAGCAATGGATCAAGGAGAACATTCAGATCGGCCCGCTAGGCTCCGCGTACCCCGACTTCCTCTTCATCCCGGAGGGCGATACCCCGACTTTCCTCTACCTTATCCAAAATGGCCTTGGCGATCGAGAGCATCCAGACTACGGCTCATGGGGAGGTCGTTACGCGCTCACTGACGCCAGCGACGCCGGACAGCAGGGCAAGCATTACAGCGACATGTCCGACACGGTCGTCGGCGTCGACGGCAAGTCATACCGCTCCAACCAAGCCACCATCTGGAGATGGCGCGATACGTTCCAAAACGACTTCGCAGCGCGCATGCAGTGGTCGCTAAACCCCGACGTCGCTTCAACAAATCACCACCCCATCGTCGTAGTCAACGGTTCCCAGAGCCTCGAGCCGCTGTACTTCGAGGCTGAAGCCGATTCAACAATCGAGCTGGACGCCTCAGGGACGTACGATCCCGATGGAGATGCGTTGACGTTCAAGTGGTGGCAGTACCGCGAGCCGAGCGCTTCACAATGGCTGGTCCACTTTGAAGTCTCGGAACTTGGTATCGAGAAGCTGGATTCGGAGGGCAAGAAGATTAGGGTCACGGTGCCGGAGCCCGAGAAGTCTTGCATGGAGCTCATCAGTCGGCAACCGGTGGCCAAGGGCCAGGTGCTACATCTCATCTTGGAGGTTACGGATAGCGGAACACCCGCGCTGACGAGCTACCGTCGCGTTTTGATTCAGGCGACGAATAAAGATTTGAGAGGAGGCAAGCCTTTGAAGGAAGGGGAAGAGCTGTTAGCTATCGGTGATGCCATGAAGGATTATACTGGATGAGAATGCATAACGCTAGTCCTTCAATGAAAGTCAGTCTCAATTAACCCTCAGATACCGGGCCGGTGAGAGAAACCACGCGAGCCTTCAATGGGATTACGCTGCTGCTCAAGTTCTTGACAGATCAGGTAATGCCGCGCTTGTAGTGGTTTGTGTTGGTCACTCAGACGGCACGGCAACCCCACGGCTGTTCATGGCGCGTAGAACTTGTCATCAACATCATGATTCGATGCCGCGTTGAGCTTGTCGATTCTGTTTATTGAAGCGTGACAGCATGTCGCCTGAAACTGAAGAATAGGTAGACCAGGATGAGGGTATCTGATCTCATTCAATTCACGCCGGACTTACGTCTCAAGAGTCGGAAAGGTAGACTACTTTTATTCATTATCGAGTCCAGGTGACAATCGACAAAAGTTCTAGAAGGAGAGTGGATGATCATGGGTTTTCCCGTCTCATTGGCAGCTTGCTGAAGGATTGAGGCGAAGGAAGCCTTCTTACATTGGACGCATGTCGGAACCTGATTGGTGTCTTCGAGTTCTTGGGGAAGTTTTCTGGTTAGCGGAACTCTACAGTAGCAGGATTGCAGAGCAGGACGGTGATCAGAACTCCTGTCTATGTCTTTGGAGGTGGTGGCTTGGCTAGTGCTGACGGAAAATTCGACGCGCCGTCGTCATCTCATCCGTCTCAAATCTTATTATCAGCGACCTGCTTCACAAAGACCCCATCTCCTTCTCTCACCGTCGAAAGTATTGAAGTATATCGCGCTCTCACGGGCGTTCATCCCATCTCAACAATCTTGAGGGTCATCGTCTGGTCGGCTGCATCGGCTCCACGAACAAAATGGATAAAGACAATGCAACAACTGTAGCTGTGATCGGAGCAGGTACGTGGCGTGTAGACAATGGGACATGAGCCTGCTTATCTATTTTACTGATGCGATAATCAAGGGTCCACCGGCCTGTCGATGCTCAAGACTCTCCGGGAAGACGGATTCGATGCTACGTTGTTTGAAAGGCGAAGTCGAGTTGGCGGTCTTTGGTCCTATACCGACGACAAGAGCATGACCACTGCGCTACCCTGTGAGATCTCTCAAACGATCCTCAACGTTTCCGTTGCTGGATGTCCTAATCGTCCTAGCTACAAATGCCATCATCAGCAAATACACCTGCGGGTTCACGGATTTCCCGATGCCAGATAGTAAGTGCATGAGTGTCTTTTTCGAGACATGTCATTCTTCCGGTGGCTGACATCCTGAAAGAGTATGGGCCATTCTTGAGCCAAGGCGATTTCGAAGAGTACATGGAATCTTATGCCGAGAACTTTGGCCTGTACAAACACATTTTCTTCAACAGCACTGTGAAGCAGGTCGTTCGAAATGGCGATGGCACCAAATGGAAAGTCGAGATGGTCAGATCAGGCAGCCAGGAGGTGAAAGAGTTTGACAAAGTCGTCCTCTGCCATGGCTATCAGACGCAACCCAGGATGCCAATCTTTGAAGGTCAAGAGCTGTACCAAGGTCAACTCATTCATTCACAACAGTTTCGAAAGTATGTATCAGCATTCCGTCTCCTGTTCGCTCACTGCTCACCAATGCAACACCAGCCCGGAAAACTACAAGGGCCAAAAGGTTGTCCTCGTCGGTCTCAGCGCCACGATGAGCGACCTTCTCACCATCTTGGTCGACCAAGCCAGAGAGACCTTCGTGTCGCACCGGAACGGCGCAATGATCATAGGTCGCTGGCGCAACGGCCTCCCCACCGACCTTCTCATCAACCGCGCTCGACGACAGATGTCCTACTTTCTGCAGAGAAACTTCCCCAACCAGGTTAACAAGCTCGTCAAGCTCGCTACGGGCCTTTTGATGCGACAGCACGGCAAGATCGACCCCGCATGGCGGCTCCTCGAAAACGTCGCCCCGCTAAGCCTGCATCTCGCCGGATGCATGGACACGACCTTGGAGCTTCTGCGCGAGGGAAAGGTGTCGTCCCTATACGGCATCAAGAGGTTCCTCGGCGGCAAGAAAATTGAGTTCACGGATGGGACCGTTCTAGACGACGTCGACTCTGTTGTCTGCTGTACCGGCTACACTGCAGATTTCAGTCTCGTTCCCTTTGTGGAGACGAGCAAGCCCAAGGCGGACGCGGCCGGCCATCCGTACGGAGGCGAGTCCATCGCCAGGCTCTATATGAACCTCTTCCCGCCGGCGCATGCAGATAGCATAGCGATCCTTGCGTACTCGACGTACGGCAAGAATAATGGCTTCTCTTTCTCGGACGTCACCTCCATGGCGATAAGCAATATTTGGCGCGGCGTCAGCGCAGACATGATCCCCTCCAGACCGAAGATGGAGCGCGCCATTGATCGCCATCAAGAGTGGGTTGCCGGTCGTTGGCACCAGGAGAATAGATCTGAGCCTGGTGCTGTTAAACAGTGGGAGTTCCAGGGGTTCTTACATCAAGCTGCTGGCACTGGCATGGAGAACCTGGGCTGGGGATGGCGCGGTTGGGTGACGTGGTTCAAGGACCCTTATATGGTGTACCTTATCAACCATGGCGTCGAGACGGCGCATGCGTTCAGGTACTTTGAGACGGGGAAGAGGAAGACTTGGGACGGGGCCAGGGAGGCGATCATCCACATGAACAAGCTGGTGAAGCAGCTCAAGTCTGCTAAGAGGTGAAGCTGCAGATCGTGAGCAGGGGAATCTATGCGGCCATTGAGTTTGTTTTCTTCTCTTCTTATTTACATTTGTCATAAGGTAGCCACCTACAAGTCTCCCCATTGTTGTGTACCTATTGGCTGTGTCTTCACTTATGTATCCACGGCCGAGTGGTGACACCGGGTCCGGAGTTAGCCCCGCAAACTCCGGCCTGCCCCTCCGTAAACCCCAACGCGGGCCATGCCGATCGTGCCGGTCCCTCCTCAAAGCCGACCGGACGCTTTAGCAAAGATGACCACGGGCTTGGGCCAGATGCTGTATCACCGGTGTAACCTGTCGTTATGACCGGCAAAGATTGGTTACAGGCGGGTTTGGTGTGCATTTATTGACGCATGGAACGCGACGCACGACCATCCAATACGTCACAGACGCAACAGATCCCCGCATCAAAATGTCGGATCGAGAAGTCGTCTGTTACCGGCATGGAGCCATCGGTATGAGGTCTGCTAAATTCCGGCCATAATTCCGGACTGATATGTCAGCCGTCCTCGACTGCCGATGCCCCTCATATGGCAAAGTATAAAGCTACGACTTACAGGCCGTCTGTTGTGTTGGTCTTTTAGTTGCAGGACTTTTAGTCAATATCACCAGCCTCTCGTAAGGACTTGTCGGCAGCTCCTTGTTACACCTAATTAACACCGGTTAAATCCTGCTCAAACACAACCACAATGTCCAACTTCATGGCAGAAGCGCCCGAGCCTCCCACCGAGCTGGGCAGGCTCCGCGTCCTCTCGCCCAATGCAGGTATCCGCGTCTCCCCGCTTGCTCTCGGCGCCATGTCCATCGGTGAAGCCTGGGCAGAGGCAATGGGCGCCATGAACAAGGAGCAGTCGTACAAGCTCCTCGACGCCTTCGTCGAGTCCGGCGGCAACTTCATCGACACGGCAAACGGCTACCAGGACGAGCAGTCAGAAAAGTGGATTGGCGACTGGATGAAGGAGAGGGGCAACAGAGAGCAGATTGTGCTGGCCACAAAGTACACCTCGGATTACCAGAGCCACGCGCTGGGTAAGGGCCACACAGCCAACTTCACGGGCAACCACCGCCGCAGTCTCCACGTCAGCATCCGGGACTCGCTCAAGAAGTTGGGCACCGATTACATCGATATCCTGTACCTGCACTGGTGGGACTACACGACGTCCATCAAGGAGATCATGGACTCTCTCCACATCCTCGTCGAGCAGGGCAAGGTTCTCTACCTCGGCATCTCAGACACGCCCGCGTGGGTCGTCAGCGCCGCCAACACGTACGCAGTCGACCACGGCAAGACGCCATTTAGCGTGTACCAGGGCCGGTGGAGCGTGATGCACCGCGATTTTGAGCGCGACATCCTCCCCATGGCCCACACCTTCGGCATGGCCCTGTGCCCGTGGGACGTGTTGGGTTCCGGTAAGTTCCAATCGAAGAAGGCTCTGGAGGAGCGCAAAAAGGCAGGCGAGGGTCTGCGGTCCTTTGTCAGCACCGGCGAGCAGACGGAGATGGAGGTCAAGATGAGCGAGGCGTTGGAACAGGTGGCGGGTGAACACGGCACGGAGAGCGTGACGGCTATTGCCCTTGCCTACGTCCGCAGCAAGGCGCCAAATGTGATTCCCATCGTGGGCGGGCGCAAGGTCGAGCACTTGAAGGCCAATATTGATGCTCTCAAGATCAAGCTCACAGATGAGCAGATTGCGTTCTTGGAAAGCGTCAAGCCTTTCGATGTCGGCTTCCCTGGTAACTTCTTGGGCCCAGATCCTAACATTACTGGAAAGTCCTTCAGGCTGGCGCGCGCATCACAAATGTCGTTCCCCAATGCAGGCAGGCAGACGAGTATCTAAGCTAGCTAGATAGAAGCTAGATCAAAAGTGTACTGGAAGCCTTGTCTCATCAAACCAGATGACGAGAATCATTAAGTCGTATGAGTGCACCAATACGGTAACCTAATAGCTATCCTCCTAGCCGGGGCCCTAGGAATGTGTCCGCCGAATGTTGGACGGAACTCGGCAGCTTCGACATCATACTTGAAATGATCGTCTCACAGAAGTTCATCTTGTCTAGCATCGCGCATCTCTAGTCGCCAAAGATTCACATGCACAGGCTATTTTTGCTCAAAATTATGCTTCAATTGGTTACTACTGCTGAGAGCTGCCTCAAACAAGGTATATATCGAGGGGAGGCCTCCTCAAACCACCTACGTCCGATCAATCTGGGTGACCGTAGCCTTGGATGAATCCAAGCCCTTGTGGGTATCCTTATCAAAGTCAACCGCAGCATCAGCATGCGTATCAAGTCCCATCTGCTTCATAGC